AGAAATAAAAACACTTGCTCTGACTTGGAAGAATCAGGTGATGTTGTCAAATGCTCTTTCTTCTATTTCTCTAGGTACAGACCTATGTTTCCCATTCAAAAGAAAACAGGAATGCTAAGAAGAACCCACAGCTGGACAGTGTCCACTGCCACAGCCCACAGCAAGATGCAGAGGTTTCTCCTTTCTTCCCAGACCTTCATGAAGGAGGCAGTCCCCATGTGTCTCCCCACCCCAAACCCCAAGATGGAGTAGCATTTGCAGATAGTCTCCGGTACAATTGTGAGTTTGAGAAAAAAAAAAAAAACACAAAGCCAAGGTCATTCCAGATGCACCTGCTAAATTTCAGCATTTGGCCAGCAAGTGTCTCACCCACCGAGAATGTACTGTGCAACCAAGGTGATCTGAGGGCCGCTGCAAGGGCTCCATCAATGAAAGGGGCCCCAACACCAGCAAGACCAAGCCCATCCGGCCCCAGGCCTGCCTGGTCTGCATTCCTAGGACCCACAGGCCCAGTCTCGGTGTGAGACTCTTGAGGCTTTGACCAACTTTGGCTGCCCAGCAGAGGTGTACCCAAGGTCCCTGCCTAGGGCAGAGGGATGGGCTCTGTCTAGCTAAGGCGGAAGTGAAGCCTCCTCACTTGTGGTTGAACAGATGGTGGAGACAGTTCATGTGCGTGCCCTGCCTCTCCTCCCAATCCCAGTTCTTTCCTGCTCTGCCCTAAAGCTGCCGACTGCCAACAAGGATTAACGACTCTCTCCTCCCAGTTCCCTAGTCATCAGTCCTAATCCTGCAGTCCTTTCTCCTTCTTCACGGCTCATCTGATTCAGTAAGTCCTCACACGCTCTCGCTTTCCCCTGCCAGCATCAGTTTTCCTGAACTCATGGCTTCTCCCTGTTCCATGGAATTCCTGTGGCTGGTATATTCTGCCTGGCCCCTGCCAATCTCACTCCATCTCCTTTTTATGAGCTCTGAGCCCTATAATATAAAGAGCAGCACTGTTCTATCCCTAAGAGATGTGGAGGGGCCTGTGGCATTTGGCTCCCATGTGGAGAAGGAAGCCTTTCCTCTACTTGGTAAGCTGTTGCCTACCAGCTGATGGGCGACTTCCCCATGTGAGTGATCCAAACCTGGATAGTCCATGCTAATGGATACTCTTAGGACTCCCTGCTCTCTGAACCCCACGCTAAAACTACTGCACTGTGTGTGTCTGACTGATGGCTGTCTCCCATACCCATGACAAGCTTAAAAAGGCAAAGGTCTACCTCCTCCATGGGCTCCCCATTGAGCAACGGCAACAGATTTGGGACTGAAGAGGTGTTGAAGGTGGGTTCGCACTCAGTTTGTTGTCACACCTCAGGGCAGGCTACCCTCAACCCAACCTTACTGTAGAAGGACTGGTCTGTGTGCCACCAGTGCCATCTGCTTTGATTTGAATGCTTGACCCCTAAGGTGATAGTAACAGGAGGTGAGACCTGAATGACTCAGACACCACCCTTCATGGTTTGCTCTGCGGTGACCAGGAAACGCTCTGTGCTGACCTAGCCCAAAGAAGGACGTAGGCAGGTATCTGTCAACTTGCTCGTCATGTATCTTTTGAATGCTGTTCTCTGAGGGAGCAGGGACGTTTCTCTACTCGCACACCCTCCACCCTCAAACCTGATTCTGAGTCACCCCAACAATGCCAGCACCTGCCTTGGGAGCCTGGTCATGGTGGAGGACCATATCTCTCTGCTACTAGAAAACATGGGCACAGAAGAGGCTTGAGAAAGGAAAAGCCCTTTGTCCTTGGAAGCGGCAGAGCACAAAGCACCCGAGTCCACCAAAGGATAGCCTAAGAACCAGCCACCACGATCAGTCTTCAAACTGTGGATTTAGTGCAGCAGCCACAGTAACAGAGCCCTCCAGATGCAAGAAGCCTAGTTACCCACCATGTAGCCTGGGTGTGTTATCACACACTCTGAGCCTTGGTGGTAGGGCGAAGCCAAACAAAATGGCTCTGGATATTATTTTTGGTTGTGAGCCTAGCCTTTAACGGCTGAGCCATCTCTCCAGCCCGGCTCTGGATATTATGAAACATCATCTCGACCAGGGCCAAGTATCTACTGATCAGAGGGCCTTGTAATACCAGCTCCTCTAACCTCCAAATCCCAGGCAACTATGACAGCCATTAAGCCATCCACCCAGCAGAGGTGCTCAGCCTTCATACTGTGCAGAGAAACCTGAAACTGTGGGCAACTGTCGATAAATAAAATCCCTTGAGGTAAGAGCCCACCCAAGGTAGTTCTCTATCTCAGGCTTGCAAACATCTTCTCTATCCATAATGGGGGTGACCACCTGCCAACGTCCCTGAGCTCCTAGATGGAAAATGGAAGGACCAGAGCCCCATTAGTGGGCTGGGATGCCTCAGGGAACAAGTGCTTCAGGGCTATGTCTGAGATGACCACTAAGACTGAATTTGGGAGGCTGGCGGTGGGGTGGGCTTTACAGCTCAGTGTCAGTTGGGCTCACAGCTGAATGTCATTCAATGTGGACTCAGTCGCCTATCCCTTCTGAGCCTATGACATCATCAGTAAACTGGGATTTACCTTTCTCAAAACTCCTGAAACCAAATTGTACCTGCTATTGTTTGTTAGCAGTCTCTGCTCCACGAATATCTCCCTGAACATGTCCCTCTCCCCAAACCTGTTCCCTCCCAACCTCTACGCAAACACGAGGTGCCCTCCTCCTGACTCATGCTATACAACAATTCTAACTCCTCAGTTTCTACTTTGGAGAATGCTGCCCTAGGCTACCATATAGTTAGACAAAAAGCCCAAACCCTCCTAGATCCTAGACACTTGTTGGGCTGCTAGGAAGTTTTGAGGGTACTACAGTTAATTTTCAACTAGAGTTGATTTTCCATATCTTTCTAGAACCCTAACTAAGGTCCTAGATTTTTATAAATATGAACCATCTGGATCATCAACAAGTGGCCCAGTGCAGCCTAGAAAATCTCTGGTGAGACGTACCTATCCACACTGCCAGAGAGCTTTCTATTCAAATGGGCCTTCCTTCGTGTTGGACTCAGACAAAGCCGTGGCCTCCTGTTTCCTTATTTTCAATCATTGGACTAAGGCTTTGGGCAGACTGCACCGGGGAAGGTAACAGGTGGTTGTGAGCAGAGACTAGCCTGGAAGCTGAGCATCAGCAAAGGGTTCCCTGTAAGATGAGAGGGTCACCAAGATGGAGGCTCCCTCAGGACCCTTTCAGAGACTTCCCCTTTATCCTACTGTGGTGTGAGGTGGCCAATGGAATGCTGAAACTTCTCCGAGTATACCAAGGCAATGGAATGCTGAAACTTCTCCGAGTATACCAAGGCAATGGAATGCTGAAACTTCTCCGAGTATACCAAGGCAATGGAATGCTGAAACTTCTCCGAGTATACCAAGGCAATGGAATGCTGAAACTTCTCCGAGTATACCAAGGCAGACTTTTCCCCCCAGTCATTAGTCCAAGTGTGAAGGACTTAGCAAAACAAAGTTTTGAAAAGAGCAAACAAACCAAAGACCCTCAATGCCAGGGTGCAGTCAACAGCATCTTTGTGGGTTTTTATACTTAGATGCACCCCTTAGAAATTGCTAACCAGCTTCAGCTGGATTTGCTAGTGGGTCGTCTTAGAGCCTGCTGGTGGTGACTTTCTGTGGCTGGCTTGCTTGGGCTTGTCTCCACTATAATCTCCTCAGGAGTAAGAGACACTTGTCAGAATCCAGTGGAACTAACAAATTGTAAGTTGCCCAGGTTAAAGGCATGGGGGAAGAGGCCCTGACAATTTCACAGCCCATCATGTCTAGAGGTCTTGACCTGGGGACCTGGGGACCTGGAGACCTGTGGAGGCACTCACTCACTCACTCACTCACTCACTCACAAGTCACCAAAGCTTACAGTCTGGAGAGGCTCACAATGGAGCAGAGGATTGTCCTACTTCAAATCTCTGGTCCTTTCCCATAAGCAGTTGCTCTGATCAGTTGATGGTCATGGAGTCTTGCTTTAAAAAATTAAATCGAGAAATGTTCTTCTTGTGGAAGTGGAAAGGAAAAAGAACTGTGTGGAGGAAAATGGGAGGGACCACACATATACACGGGGGGGGGGGGCAGATGGTCCCTGCACACCTGCGGCACCTGGGGGTGAAGTTGGGGTGGGGAGGGGTCAAGTTCAGAATCTGAGCAGGAGGTTGAGAAAGGCCAAGATATAAAGAGGAGGCAAATATTAGTGTGATACAAATAGCAGTTAAGGAGGTATGATACTTGTTTAAAAATATAAAGGCAAAAATAAAATGTAAAATTGTGGTACGAGAGGAGGAAATCCTTACAAAGAATTAGGTAGTCAAAAGAGTCAAAGAACACATAATGGGAGAGGTCTTCCCCATCCCTAGAATTGCGGGCATCTCACCTGGCCATGTCTGTCTCCCATGGATGCAACTGCAACTTATCCCATCACCACCACCCGCAGCCAGGCCCCCCAGGCTCGTCCCCCTAAGACCTACCTCTTTCCCTCCTGTCATACAGCTCCCCTGTCAAGTCTCACAGTTGCCCCTATAACCCATCCTGCAGCTGAGATCAAACCTGGGAACGTGTCCTCCAAAAGCCGGATTGCACACATCAATGCCCCCAGGGAAGACTGGAGACCCAACCAGGACTAAAGGGATGCGGTGCCTAAAGAGGGAGGTTTCAAATACATTACTGATGGATAGTGGACACCTGCCTGTAGTGCAACACAGCGAAGTGCCGTCCCAAAACCTCTCCACCGCTCCCCTCAGGCAGGTGGCACCCCAAGGGCGCCACGGGTGAGTCCAGATACCCACCCCCAGCCCTGCAGATCCTCATGAGCACTCCGCTGAGTTTCAGGGCGGCGCCCGGGGCGATTCAGCCTTGTCTCTGGGGCAGTGGACCCGGGCGGGGCAGGTGGCCGGAGCTCCGCCCTCCTCTGGCCCAAGCTCTTCAGTTCTTAACCCGCGTGCGAGCGCGCCTCGGCCACTGGGCTCTGCGGAGCGAGCTAGTGGTCAGCTCGGAGGCGGAGGTGCGCGTGTCCCGTTCCAAGGCCGACGCCAGCTCGCAGGCATGGCCCCGGCAGCGGCTTCGGGTGGCAGCACCCTGCCCAGTGGCTTCTCGGTCTTCATCACCTTCCCTGACTTGCTCTTCATCTTTGAGTTTGTGAGTGGTTGCGCGCGCCCTACGCTGGGAAAGAAAGGGACAGGGTGGGTTATGCTGCTCGCTCCCTCGAGGGCTCTGCACCGCTGTCCCCGACACAACCAGCAGCATGGAGGGGACCAAATCCGGAAAGTCTCCCCCATCTCTCCGTAGTTGGTTCCTTTCTAAAATAGTGGATCGATCTCGTAGGCAGGTGCAAAGAAACTTCTTGTAGGAGCACAGCTTCCTTACAAGGGTCCCAGCTTTTCCCACCCACATTCCCTTTAAGTAGCCAAAGCCAGCCAAAGACCCCCTTCATGAGGCCGACAGAGACTTGGGACCTAAAGAAGCCAGGCTCTTCCGGCCTTTTGAAGTTTTTGGAAGAGTTTGTCTCTGTGACAAACCTGATCCGAGAGAAAGAAAAATAGTGGCCGGCGTTTTGCTCTGCTGCAGTCCTTGTGCCTTGTGTGAGGGGAGAGAGGAGAGAGGTGAATTCTGTCACCTCCCTTGGCTGACCTTGAGCTGACTCTGCTCTTGGGCTGGGTTCTCTAGCCTTACTCTCTGCCCCAGTAGCTTGCAGAAAGTTTCCTATTGTGGGCTCCTGGTAAAGTGTAAAGTGTTGTGAGATTTCAAGACCTCATTTGGTTTCAAGTCCCCAGGGATCTCTGGTGCTTGCCTGGGCAGGAGGGTGTTTGTTTATTCTGTGGTGTGGAGACAACATCTCCTGTGCTCCCACCACACAGAATCCTTTGTGTTGAACATTGACTTGGAAAAGAAAATGTAGAGGGTGATTTTAACAATGGTATCCGGGCTTCTAACAGCATGGATTGGAAGGGTGGATGTGGACACCAAAGACAGTAGGTTTATTCATCTAGAGATGCCTCTGAAATTGAGATGAGTGTTGAGCTGAACCCAAACCTGGGTGTTTCTGAAGTCACACCCCAGGCATAACCAAGGCCAAAGCTATGGAAGCAGTAACATTTGTAAGAAACCCTGCATATCACCGAGCCAAGGTTCACAACTTACAAATCAGAGCACCTAGGCTCAGAGCTGGGTCAGACTTGCCCAAGGTCATCCAGGTCTTTAGCAAGCCTTCCAACCTCCTTGGGTTCCTTTTATATTCAGGGTTGCCAGGCAAGTAAGTCTTGGAACAGTGCCAACTGAATGTATTTGACACAAGCACTTGGCCATATGGGAAAGCACCCACTGTGTGCTCTGGGAGTACTTGTCTTTATCATCTCTTAGCCTATGTTTGCCTAATATTGGGACCTGGGATTAAGCAATGGATGACTGATCAGAATTTTTAAAAGTGGACCCTACAGAGGTCTGACCAAAAGAGATCATCTCTCATCCTGAGGGGTGAAAGGGCAGAGAGGTTTTTAAATAAAAATATCTTGGCCTATAGTAACTTCTGTTGACAGTTTGGAGAAGAGCATAACAAGAATCATTAGAGAAGATAGTAGTTGGGCTTTTTGGGTCTTTGCAAAGACCCTGGTTGTAGCCTCAACACACACACACACACACACACACACACACACACATACACTCACGGGGCTGGGGGGGGGGGACTCTGGTGGTGGAGGATTCACAAGCTCCAAGAGCACACCCCCTCTTTTTAACTACTCGGTATGACAGAAAGATTGGTTCTGAGGATAGAAACAGCGCAGCCAGGCAGGATGACCAATCCTACAGAGAGGACAGAAGACGTGTGTGTGGAAAATCTCAGCCCTACTTGTTTAGTGGAAACGCACCCACTACTGTGCCTGCCCTTCCTCCACGTGGCAGCGGGGATTTCTCGCGCTCTCTCTAGCCAGTACCCTCCCCTTTCACTGTTTTAGGAAGTGTGTCTCTTCTACCTCAACCCTTGCGCTATGTCTGCCCACCCTCCCCCACCTGTCACTTTCTCTAGAAAACTTCGGAGTCTCACTTGCCATCCTTGAATCTTTCTTCCTCTGTCAGCTAGGGCTGGGTTTACAGGATGCCTTGGGAGAGAAGGGAGAAAGCAGACGCAGCCCCTTCAGTGCTTGTCAGAATAGACTATGTGTGAAGCAGTATTTATCTTGACAGAGAGCTGGAAAATGAAAAGACTGGACGAGGCACTGACCACGCCAGGGGTGTTTTCTTAAACTGTAGAGTATTATAAGTCAACACCCAAAGCATGGTTATAAAATGGGCAATGGCTTGGACAGACATTTCTCCATGGCAGAAACACATTTCATGAACACATAAGACGATGCTTAGCTGAGTTAGTCACCAAGGAAAGGAAATCAAAACCACATTGAGTGTCGCCCCCCACCCATTACATTGACTTTTAGTTTTAAAACAGGTCCAGTGGCAAAGGCTACAATACAACTTTGAAATAATGCCCCCTCCCTAGATGGAACATAATAATCCAGGATTTGGAGAGCCTGTGGCTCTGCATATTGCTGTTAGGAATGTCAAGATGCTTAGCTAATGTGGAGAGCAGTTTAGTGGCTCCTTCAACAGCTACCGTATGGTCCAGCAATTTCAAGCCCAGGAATATGACCATAGAATTATAGCAGCGACTCAAATAAAGTGTGTACACACAGGCCCACAGCAGCGCTCATCAAGGAAACCAACAGGTGAAAGCAGTGGAAACAGCCACCTGACAGGCATACCTGGCAAGCACAATGTCACCTTTCCTTACAATGGAATACTGTCTGGACAGAGGAAGTACTGATCAATGCTGTCAAAGTGATGAGTTTTGAACAGTCTATGCTCAGTGAAGGCAGGCAGATGGGAGGCATCATATACTGTATGAGTCCATGTGCATAAAATACCCCAAACTGAAAACCATGGGGACCCAATGCAGACTGGTGATTTGCCAGAGACTAAAGGGAACAGGGATTGGAGAGCAATTACTCAGTGGGTGTAGGGTTTCCTTTTCAGGTGATGAAATGTTTTTTAATTAGATAGAGGCAGTGGTTGTAGGACACCATAAATGTGCAGAATGCCACTGACCTCATCAGTTTTAGATGTTTGACTTTGTCTTTTCTTTTTTTCTGTGTAGTCTTTGCTTTCCTAGAACTCGCCCTGTAGACCAGGCTGCCCTTGAACTCAGAGATCCAGCTGCTTCTGCCTCCTAAGTGCTGGGATTAAAGGCGTGCACCACCAATGCCTGGCTTCCTGTTGCCATTTATTTTTATTCATTCTTCCATTGTTGGGTATTTTTGCTGTTTCCAGTTTGTTACTTTTAACTGCTGCAGACAACATTGCCAGGAACATCTTTGTAATTCTTGCTGGAAATTTCTCCCTGGATGCATGAAATTTGGCTGCAGGGTCACAGGGCATGAACATCTCTGTTTCTCGTTTGTCACCATCCTGCTGTCCCAAAGGGTCATTCTAATTGGCACATCCCAACCACAGATTTCCCAGGAATCTCATCAGTCTCTTTAAGCTCAATACTAACACCCACTCAGTTGTCTTCCAAGATCCTGCCTCATTAAAAGGACCCCTGTGTATACACAAAATTCAGGCTAAACCTGGGCCTTCTCCACTCTGACCAGCAGCATATGAAAGTCTCCATTGTTCCCTGTCCTTGTCACACTTGGTGGCATCAGCCTTTGTGATTCCCTGCTCATCCTATGGGTGCAAAATGCCTGATTATTTTTCAGCTCTGTAGCTTGAGCGGATGGTGACCCGGGGTTAAGTTCCCCGCGCCTGAACTCTCAGTATCATGAAAGACACCGATGTCCCTGGCCAGCAGGCTGGAGCTGCCCCACTCCCCAGAGCTTCTGATCACTGTAAGATCCTCCAGGATGGTGAAAAGCAGGCCCAGCTCAGAAGGGGACCATGTCTTTCTGAGAACACTTAGAGCCATAGGCAGTGTGGAGACAGATGCAACCCCACATAGGCCCAGGGGTGAAATGTTCCTTTTCCTTCAACCCCTCAATCCAGGACATTGCTTCTGGTCTCAGTCCCTGCCCAGTAAGGGGCTTTTCCTTTTGTAGCCCATTATACGTTTCCTCCTCTCTCTCCTTTCTAAGCCAGATGCTTCATGGCACTCTGGCCACCATTCCTGGGAAAGGAAATTAGCATGAACGCTGCTGACACTCTGACCACCATTCCTGGGAAAGGAAGTTAACATGAATGCTCATGTCAAGCCTCATAGAGGCAATTTGTTCCACAAAGAGCTGGTAGAGAACCCCACCACTACTGCCCTTACAAAACTGTGACAGACATGCTGGAAATGCCATCATCACCCTGTCTATCCCCTCCCCAAGAGGTGGGTTGACATCAAGAATGGCTGAAAGTTGATGGACAGACTTCCTGGAACATGCTAAAAGCCTGGTGTGATGGTCCATATCTGTGATCTTATCCGTCAGGAGCCATGAATTTGAGGCTAGCCTGGACTACAGAGTAAGTCTTTTTTAAAAAGGGTACTAGGAGTTCTAAAGGTGATTGTTTATGCCCCCGTGCATTCCAGAAGTGTGGAGAAGGAAGCAGGGTTGGTCCCTGGTGACCACTGATACTTGTAGGGTGCATATTTAAAGGCGGAGGCCAGATGAGGGAGCCACATGGAAATGATTTGCAGTGTTGACTCCTACACTGAACTGGACCTGTTAATTATTAAAATGATGGCGTTTCTGGGTCTCAGAATTAAAAGGAACTTTTTATTGTCTGAAAGTGACTAGACAGGCTGTAGTTTTTCACCTGGTTGAGGAAGAGCCAGCCCAACACAGAGCCATGTTTTCTGACTGTATCAAGAAGCCAGCTTGCCAGAGCATAAAGGATGTAGAATTATAGACACTGAATTTTCAGGTTCAGGTAGAAACTGAGGCTCAGAGAAGAAGCCACTTGCCTAGACTGCTGAGTCCACAGGGCCCTGGGGACATTTCCTACACTGAGGACAGACCCACACTCTTTATACAGCCATGGAGAACTGTTTTCTTACATCAAGGGTATTCAGGAGTGGGTAGCTTTCCCCACTTGGCAGCTCTGGAAAGGCTTGGATCCTCTCTCGCCCATCAGGGAATGAAGGGACAGCTCGGAGTGGCTGGGTA